ATGCTTATGTTGAAATGTTGTGAGAGAAAACATTGTTCCATTGTTGAAAAGTAGTTTTTGAATGAGCTCAAGCGAACAGGACCAAATATAAACAGGCACTATCAATGCTGGTTCTGGTGGTTCATTAATAAAAGAAGGAAGTGCGTTGTTTGTTGTAAGCTACTCCTTTCCTATTGGTATATGTCCTAGAAATCAATTGCAGTTATTTTTCAAAAACGAAAAATGGTGACCTAGTCCTCTATTTATCAATGAGTTGCTCACCAAGGGTCTGATTTTGTCCCTTCTTGAGACCAAAGGTGTGTGGTTCTTTGCTTCGTTCAGCTAACACGTGAAGTTATCCGCACACCTACTGTTATATAAAAATCTTCTAAAGTATGAGTCTGACAATACTTTGAGATAAAAAAAGACGATATAGACATCTCATTATCGATGGCAATACCTCGCCTACTAATAATGGTGCATTTCTCTTTCTACTAAGTCCATGACTTGAACCCAGTCAATGCAACCCACCGTAATGAGAAAAAAGTTATTATCTGAACTGTGTCTTAACCACATCTCAAAGATACTCGCTCTCGACTGATCTTTTATGGCACACGACTACTCCCTCTCCCTTTTATTTGTCGTTTTCCTTTCCCGAGAAATCAATTATACTTACCTTTGAATAAATATATAAAATAAAGTATTAATATTTATAATCCATAATTAGTATCATTAGAAAGATTGTTGAATCTATTTTCATAATAAATTTATTTAGAGATACAAATGTTACTAATATTTTTTATAAACTTAATCAAATTTTAGAAAATTTAACCGGCACGAATCCCACGTCGACACTTAAATAAGTACGGAGGGAGTACACCCCAACATGTAAAGAAAACATGGAACGAATATTCTGGGCATAGCTTCGTGAATCCATACTAAACGAATGTCCGCCCAGCCAAGGTTAAGTTTGTGCCTTTCAAAAAAAGAAGGGGTTAAAGTTTGTGAATGTGCCAAAGACAGTTGAGTTGGTTTTGGTTAGAGCTGGCTCCGTTCCCCAGCAGCAGAATCCCCAATAATGCAAGCCTACGCAGATGCCAACTGTTGTCTGTACGGGGGCTAATAAACCACTGGCAATTCATCAACCAAACCAAATATGCACCATAATATATATATATATATATATATATATATATATATATATATATATATATATATATATATATATATATATATATATATATATATATATATATATATTTATATATATATAAACCACTTAGTAAGGAGTTACTGTAATCTCGTAAATTAACATAGTAATTATCGTAACTTAAAGTGGCTACATAATAAGTTATTTTGTAGCTAATTATATCTATATATATATATATATATATATATATATATATAGAGAGAGAGAGAGAGAGAGAGTATTCAATAGTTGGATTTACTATATTTTATATACTAATTTAGGATATTATTTACGATAGTTGGGTTACGTTATATATACCATAACGTTATACCACTTAGTAGAGTTACTATAATCTCGTAAATTAAGATAGTAATATCGTAACTCAAAGTATTTACGTTAAGTTATTTAAAACTACTATAGCTAGCTACAAAATAACTTATTCTTTGAGTTACGATAATTACTATGTTAATTTACGAGATTATAGTAACTCCTTCTCGAAAGTGATTTACTATAACGTTATGATAAATATCCCCATGTGTATATAACCCATATATATATATATATATATATATAACTATATATATATATATATATATATATATATATATATATATATATATATATATATATATATATATAATATGGTGGGAGAGGAGAACAGATGGAAGTTGGGGGCTAGAGTACTAATGATATACGCTAATCCCCTCATTATATAAGTAGCAAGCATAATAAGCTAACGCCTCCTGATGATTAGCTTGCTTGTGCGTTGCTAACCACCAGCTAGCTAGCTAGTATGCCACCCTTCCAAGTGATTCTTCACGATCATGCATGCATGCATGACAGCTAGCTTGGCCGTGTTGGTAAGCATGCAGATGCAGCTGATGATCTCCCCGCTGGAATTCCTCTCTCAGATACTGCTACAAAAGAATTGTGGTGTTCTCTAAACAAAACACAGATGACAGACGCATTGATATATGTTGCTCTTCATTAAGGCAGCCATGGCGCAGGGCTAGCATTCAAAACCTTCTGCTGGCCACGCACTCAGGGGGCTATATACTTCATTTTTGCCTCTGATCCTTCTCTTTCTGGTCACAAACATAGGGTAATGATGCCATACAACTCACATGCAACATGATTAGCGTAAACATGTACTCCCTCCATCCAAAATAAGTGCTGCTTTAGGTGTTGTGCAGAAGTTTGACTAGATTTATAAAAAGTATTAGCAACATTTGTATCTCTAAATAAGTTTGTAATGAAAATATATTCAACAAATTAATCTAATGATACTTATTACGCACCATACTTTTATTACGAAATAAGTTTCTTGTATATATTTGAACAAAGTTAAAAGTGTTTGATTTCTTAGAAAGTTGAAGTAATATTTATTTTAGAACGAAGGGAATAGCCTTGACCCCACACAAGCGAGCCAAAATTTGTGGTACGTATGTTAGGTTGTAATAATGTACTAACAATGCAAGCAAAATTAAAGAGCAAAAGGACATGGAAATCATTAAAGCTTCCTAGGATCCAGATTAAACTGCTTCATCCGTCCTTTGTATCCCTATCTTGCTTCTACTAAAAGAAGCTTCATTGCATTGGAGAGCGTAGAACTGGCTTTAACACAAGTCCCACCTGACAATGGCTAGAGAACTGGTGGGTGGGTTAGCCTCAGGTAGTTTTTAGTTGAGAGATACGGTAGGATGGGATAATCCTAACCCAGATTTGAAAGATAGGACGATTCCATCTGATGTTTGCTTAAAGGGATTGAGATCATTCATGCCATCTGTTTGGTTAGAGACATAGGAATGTGAGATTTGACTGACCTATGGGATCCACCTGTTAGTATTTTTTATGCTTTCGTTCTTACTTGTCTTCTGCATCGCATCCCCTATACGGAGTTCAACCCGTGCGGTGGCGCTAGGGATGGAGCCCCGTGTTCTTGCGACCCCGTGCGTCGCCGCTGCCCCGAGCCCTTCGTGCCGTTGCCGTCTGCCGGTGACCGCTCGTGCCGCTGTCATCTGCCCATGACAGACCCCATGTCGCCATTTGCTCGTAGCACCACACCCCGATAATGATGTATTTGTTTAAAAAAAGGGTGATATATTCCTATTTATAACTTTTTTTGAGAATTATACAGCACAACGTAGACGCTCACAACACACATGCATACTCACATCTGTGAACACACGTACGTAAATCCTACCCCTATAATCACCTTCGAAAAACTAAACCGACAAATCTTGAAATTCACGAAGTCACCATTTTTTTAGGGACCTACTAGACGTCGTTCTGGTCCACACTTCAAAAGTACATGATAAGAAAGAGTATTTCATTAATAATAGTAGGATATTCATCTTTTGTTTATGATACGTTCCAACCTTCTCGTTTGATTTGACATAAATTCAAATTAAACCTCTTGCTAATTAGTTTGTCTTTTTTCTTTCAATCAAGACATACTTTCTTATGAGTCCCTCCGAAAAACAACCACAAAAAAAACAATGATGTTAAATTCTATCTTTATGGGCACCTTCGAAAAACTTCAACAACAAAGAACAATGTCATTAAATGTTGAAAAAAAAGAGAGCACCTGTGTCAAGTTGAATCAAGGATTTAAACTCAAATAAGCATGTTTCACTGTAAAAAGAATCTAACCAGTTTAGCTATATTTGGGCGCACTCGTAGAGCAGGAATCCCGGTACGAGCAGAGCACACCTCGTCCCTATAGTTCAGAATTTCAGATCGTGGTTGTCTACTGCGATGGTGCCGGAGGCGAGGATTTTGAGCCATATAGGAAAACGGAGGAACACGGCAGCTGCGCGCCACGCTGGCCGCGCCAGCAAGGCCACGTGGTCGGCGGTCTCACCCGGCCAGTCCACACGACCGTTGCCTCTGGCTCTACACCTGACACGAGCCGCGCTGCTGCGAGCACCGCTCCTCGACCCGTCGCCTGTCACCGGCGCGTGGGTCCAAAACCCACGGGGCCCGCCGGCCGGTGCCGTATAGATCTACGCCAGCGCGCCTGGGCCGGGCCGCTCGCGCGTATCTCGCGTCAATCCTGGGACACCGTGGCGTGGGCCCGCGGCGCGGTCCCCACCAACGGGCGACTGGCAGCGCGGCGCCAGCCGTGCCTGCCACTGGGCCACGGGCCTGCCCCTGCTGTTTGATCCTATTCACGCCCCCTGCCACTCGGTCGTCCTCTCCTTTCTCCGCCTCTCTGTCCCCTCCGAGTTTGGTTCGTGCACGCAGAGGCAGAACTGCAGGAGAGAGAATCTCTCTCTCTCTCTCTCTCTCTCTCTCTTGCTTTTGTAACTTGAAGAAGATCATTATGGATGGCCGTACGTATTAGGCTACTTACTACACCATCAAGCAAGATTGGAATGGACATGGTAGCCCCTTATACCCTATGAAACCAGAAGACTGTCTGATGCAGACATGCAGTAGTCTGTTGTTTGATGACTGATGAGGCCATGGCCACGCATGGACAATTTGGTAATCTTAGAGCTAGGCAAGCTCAGTTTTTTTTTTCCGCTCATCATCAAACATCAATCACGCTAACCTCTGATGTGCTGGCGCTGTCGTTCCGCCCAGCCCAGCCCAATTATTAGCGCAGCGCAGCGCAGGCAGCAGTGGCATTCCCGCAAATCCCTCGCAACGCCAGAGCTCTTGTGGCTGCAGGCTGCAGCCAGTCCTATAAACTGGAGGAACTGAGGGCGGCGTAACCTGTCCGCCATTAACACGGGACTGCCACGCCACAGCCACAGCAGCGCGTCCACCTCACGTATCATCTGTAGCTAGCCCGTGCCGCTGCACCTGCCTGCCGCCCGTAGCTGCCATGGACATCTGGAAGTCCAAGGTGCTGCCCAAGATCAAGCTCGTCTTCGTCAAGAGCGCCGGCAAGAAGGCCGCCGCCGCCGCCGAGCTCGTCAAGTCCTTCGACGAGTCCAAGGTCGTGCCTAGTCGTCTTATTCGATCGCCGCCACCGTCGTCGTCATTTGGGTGACGTTTGTGCTTGACTGCTTGTGCATACAGGAGGGGATCAATGGCGAGTTCCAGGAGAAGAAGGCGGATCTGCAGCCCAAGGTCGTCGAGATCTATGAGTCTGCCCCTGCACCACTCAAGGTAACCATCATATATACTCCTACTATGTTACAGTGTACAACCTCTTCAACATATATACGGCATTTCGTATACGTGTCAGATCAGTGATCTAGCTGCAGGTATCAACATACTGAAACTTCTTTGTACATCGTCAGGTCCTGATCAAGGAGAGGAGCAAGGTGTCCGGGATCAAGAAGAACTCCGCCGCAATCACCAAGTTCTTCGAGGAGCTGGCCAAGATCGGTGAGTACAGTCGTAGGCCAGCAGAGTGCCAGACACACAGCAAACTGCACATCTCATCAATGAACAGGGTAGTTGCTACTCCTATCTCTGTACTGTACTGATGACGAGGTGATCTGATCAGAATTCCCTGGAGCCAAGCAAGTGAGCGACGGCATCTCCAAGGTCGGCCCGGCCCTGCTGTCCGGCCCCATCTTCGCCACCTTCGAGAAGGTCTCCACGCTGCTCCCTGTCGCCGCCGAGGAGGCGACGACCAAGGAGGGCCCGCCCGCCACAGAGGAGGCAGCCGCTACTGAGGAGAAGAAAGAGGAAGCCGCCGCCGAGAAGAAGGAAGAAGTGGAGGAGGAGAAGAAAGAAGAGACGACCCCTGCACCGGCCGCCGCCGAGACTGCTCCTCCTGCTGATGCAGCAGCAGCCGCCACAGAGCCCACCGCGGAGGTGGCGCCGACCGAGGCAGCAGCGCCAGAAGCTGAGGCTGCACCCACACCTGCACCAGCCGAGGCGGAGCCGGCGAAGGCCGAGGAGGAGACACCCAAGGCCTAGCTAGCTAGGGTTCAGCAGGTCCATCGCAGCCCCTAGCTATGGTCTACCGTGCTCTACAATCACATCACCATCCATTGTTCTTGCATATATGCACACAATGTTTTTGTTGCTCCGATCCACATGTTATTGCTGTGCAAATCGGTTAGATATTTATGTATGTATAATATGTAAGCCTATATATTTTTTTTGCCAGTACTCATTCATCATATGCAGTGTGAGGATATATATGTATATTATTGCCAGTTTTGGTTCAAACTCAATTATTCTTTAATTTGCTTCATCCATGGTCGAATCACTATGCCTATATATACACACACCAGGAAATTAAATTTCAGGTCATATTTATTCACAAGTACGTGATCATTAGCTTTACATTTCAATAATTTCATGTATATATGGGTCGTGCATGTGTATAAAATGTACTAATAAATTACTCAGCAACAAACAGTAATTGCAAGTAGTAGTACCTGCTCGGCTCTGAATCTGAGATTGGGGTCTACCGATCGACTACCGCTCATGTGCTTCAGTGCTTGGTGTGTTGTTTTCGGGCCATAACTGGTTTCCTGTCGTACCGTTTGTGCTCTACCGCAGTACTGGGCCCCGTGTGCCAGTTTAGCGAGGCCCACTGTTGCAGTTGCAGTTGCAGTGCATCTGCATGTGCCGCATTGGATTCCTTCTACCAGCTGTGCAATGGATCTTGCTGTCCGCCTCCGGCCCAAAGTTTGCAACCGGTTTTTAAGAATCTGGTTTTTTGAAAGCTAGGTAGGATCTAAACAGGCTTAGTTTTTGTTTAGTTTCTTATGTCAGTTTTTGTTAGATTCTTAAAAACCAATAAGCTATTGATACCTAGTTTTTGTTAGTTTCTTGTGACCTGTGAGCAATAAATGAAGCCAGATTTTTAAAAACTGAATGATTCAAACACCCTCACCGGTTTTTGCTCAGAGTCTAGATTTTAGAAACTAGGGCCTTATTTAGATTGCCTCAAAATTCCAAGTTTTTTCACCCTCTCTCCATCACATCAATTTTTGGACACATACATGAAGCATTAAATGTAGGTAAAAAAAATAACTAATTATACAGTTTGGTTGTAAATCACGAGACAAATCTTTTGAGCCTAGTTAGTCCATGATCGGACAAAGTTTGTCAAATACAAACGAAACGTGCTACAGTGTCCAGATTGCAAAAATTTACAATCTAAACAAGGCCTAGAGACAAAAACTGTTTTTTAAGAATCTAAAACTCATCCAAACAAGCCTTAAATTCGTGTAGTATGTGTATGTGAGGTGACGATCGATCACCCACATATGTGGTGTCGTCACGTTTCTTTTATCGACTTCCTCACTGTTTATTTTTGGGCATCACACTTCCTCTCTCGAAACTGTAGGTCTCCAACAAGTAAAACACTTTAGAGTTTGTATCTTCACCCTTTAACCTCGGCTTCATTTTATAGTTGGACTACATCAGCCCATCGGCAGCTCAAATGTTTTTATTTTTAGCCTTTAAAACTAAATTTTTAGAAAAATAGCCTTTTTACTCACGCCAAAGCCCATGACATGACTTTTATCCAAGGCACACCAAAGTAAATAGTCACGCCACAAACTATGACACGGCTTTTAACTTTGTCGTGCCACAAGAAGACCAGCTATCTAAGGCACGCCAAAGTAAGTAGCGTGACACCCTCCGTGAGTGTGAGAGGTAGGGTAGTTGTTAGGTGTTTTGATTTTTTATCTAAAACAAAGGACTTATGTATCTCAAAAATTATTTGGAGACATTTTTATATTTTTTCTAATAAAGTCTAATTAATATCCTAAATTATCGATGTACTTTGATTATAACAGCTGATGTGGTGTCACATTAGCCAAGAATCACTTTTAAAAATATTTATTGATCAAATTAGGACAGTTAGAAAACAAGGTTTTTTCGGCTGGTGTTGGGAAGATAAATTGGACTTGGATGAAATTTAGGAGAGGTTAAATGGACTATTTTCTCACATAAATACACCACCACCATCTTCCAGTTGATCACTTGATCCACGGCCCAATACCAGTACCAGCCTAGCCCAAGTCCAGAAGAAGCGAAAGAAAGAGTCGAAAAGGAACATGCCCGGCATGGGAAGACTCGAGATGGAGATGAGCAAAGGCGGCGACGAGCGACCGACCGATAGAGGGAACCCTCTTTGCGTCTCTGGAAGCTTCCTTCAACTTGCAGCCGGCGCATCCCGCTCCATTAAACCCCCCCTCCAAAACCCAAACCCTAGCCGCCGCCACCCCTTAACCAGCAAAATACGCGCCCGCGCCGCATTCCCCCCCTCAATTCACACTTCGTAGAGCCGATGGCCATGCACCGCGCCGCCGCGCTCGCTCTCCGCCGCCTCGCCGCCGCAGCGGCGGCGGCGGCGGCTCCGAGCCCCATCTCCCTCCTCGCCCCTCTCCGGCCGGTGGCGGTGGCAGCCACCAACGCCAGATTTCTTCTGCAGCCTACGACCGCGGCGGCTGCTGCTGCTACTTTGTGCGCCCGGCGCGGTTACGCGGCACGCGGCAGCGCGGGCCGGAAGGCTGCGGCGAAGGCGGTGAGCGACGACGAGGAGGATGAGGATGAGGATGAGTTCGAGGCTATGGGCAGCGACGAGGAGTTCGACGGCGACTTCGACGACGAGGATCTCGATGAATTCGAGGACGACTCTGAGGATGACTCTGAGCACGACGCCGCGCCCAAGCGCGGAAGGCGCTGAGCTGCAGAAGCTCGGCTCGCCGCTGCTTGTTGTGTTTGTTTGGTGTGTGGTTTTTTTTTGACAGAATTCAACAACAAGTTAGAACTCAACGCATCAATCAGTATGCGTTGTGCTAAACCGCTTGTTGTAATCTCCTGTTTCGATTGGGTTAAACACAAGAGTTTTTCACATTCAAAACTTGTATCGCATGGAAGAACAGATCTTAAGAGTACTGTAATTCGTGATTGTTGGATGCCTTAGTGACATAATCCACACCGTGCTTGCAGCTTCTCTCGTTATGATGCGCGCTCCAGACTTGGAAGCAAATTTGTTGAGAATAACATGGGTGTATTTTTAATGCTTTTGCTACACCTGCTGCTGACGAGGCTGAATCAAGTGAGCGGCCTGAGCCTGAAGCTGAACTGGCAACAGGGCCTGCGCGCGACGGAAAGCCCAGGAGCAGTGTTCGCTAGCGTCGTCCAAGTACTCTTGTAACTGGGCCACAGTGGGCTTGAGTCCTAGGCGCAGAGGCAGCTGTGCTGCTGGCCCAGCCCTCGGCAGAAGCCGTATTAAAGGAGGAGCGTCTATGGGCCGCATATCACAGCGACACACAACTATCGAGGACGGCCATGGCGGCTGTGACCTAGGGTTTCTAGGGTTTGTCGACTGCTCGGCGATCTGTCGCGGGAGGATCTTGGCATGGCCTCCCGTCGGTCTCCTCTCTCGTTTGTAAACGACGGGTGTCTGGATCGGGTGTCTACGAGAATGGTGGCAGAAGCCTATGACGGAAAAGTGCCGGAGGTGGGAGACGAAGTGGAGAGCCTCCTTAGAACCTTACGCTTGAGCGAAGCAGAGATAGATGGGGTTGTTCTGGCCAACAAGGAGATGAACAAGCTGTCGGAGGTGAAGTGGCTGGCAGTGGCGAGACTGCTGACCTCCAAGCAGTTCAGTGAGCAGTCATTGTTTTCGACGATGAGGGCGGCATGGAACACGACCAGAGAGGTTTCTTTCTGTGCGATTGGTTAGAACCTATTCTTGGTCCAGGCTTTCTGCCTGTGGAGGAGGATTATGGAGGAAGGACCATGGATATTCCAAGGTTACGAGCTGATGTTGGAGGAGTTTGACGGGGCTACACCTATCCTAGATTCATAAAATTCCGCCCCTATATACAGGATAGAAACGATTATGCAGAAGCTTGTGGGAAAGGTGGGGGAGGTCATTGTAGTGGAGATGAAGGTAATGTCAAGTGGCATAGGAGATTTCCATATATAGGGAGAGGGTGAGCCTTGCTTCGACCAAACCATTGGTCCGGTTTGTCACACTAGCTCCAAAGGGATGTGCGCCAATGCGACTACAAGTGAAGTATGAGAAGATGCCACGCTACCGTGCCCATTGTGGTTTGATGGGCCATGTTCGTCTGGAGTGTGGATCGGGCAAGTTTATAGATGACGAGCATCAGTTCGGTGACAGGATGCTAGCCGGGGGTGAATCCTAGCATGCAGTCACACCTTATGTCTGATCATCCATGGGAGGCGAGCATGGAAGATCAAAGCCTTTTAAAGACCCAAGAAGTGACCGGAGTAGTTTTGGGATTGAAGGCGGGCGAGGGGTCATGGTGGTTGGTTTGGAGGGGCTCAGTAAGGCATATGTGTAAGGAGAAGAAGGAGGTGGGTGAAGATTGAGAGGGATCTTAGAAGAGGGTCGGGGCTAGGAAAGGACGCTGATCTGGTCAACTCGGCGACAGCTCAATCATCCAAGAAGGAGGAGGTGGTGAATAATACAAGGAGGAAACTTATAGTATCCTCGAGCGGAGCTTCAGAGGGCACTCCACCGCCCCCATCTCAATATGTATCCCCTAGGGAGAAGAAGTTGAAGAAACTTGGAGGGGAGCAGTCGAAGAGCAATGCAGAGGGTTTTGCGGTGGCCTCCAGTGCAGAGGACTGCCTAGAACTATCATGGTTTTGGCAACGCTACGATAGCAGGGAGCTTCGTGAATTTGTGAAGAGGTTTGCCCTGATAGTGCTCTATGTACTTGAAACCAAAATCCACAAAGCACGGGTTGAATCATTGAAAAGTACTCTAGGTTATGATAATTCCTTTGCTGTTAATAGTGCAGGTCACAGTGGTGGACTTGGTGTCTTCTGGAATAACAATACTAGAGTGGACATTTTACCGCACTCATAGTACCATATTGATGCAATTGTTATCGAGAACGGAAGAGAGTCATGGAGAATGACCTGTGTTTATGGGGAGGCTTAGATGGCAGAGCGCCATAAAACATGGGGCATGCTAAAAGTTTTTAAGGCGTCATTGCATCTATCTTGGGTATGTATAAGAGACTTCAATGAAGTCCTGCATAGAAATGAGCACATGGGGTGAGGGGGGGGGGTGCAAGAACGCAACATATTGTAGGCTTTTGTGAAATGGTTGATGTGTGCGGTCTGTATGACCTCGGTTATGAGGGGAAGAAGTGGACGTTCGATAAGAAAGTTGTAGGGGGAGTCTTCTGCAGTGTCAGGCTTGATCGGGCATTGGCTACAGCTGATTGGCGCTCACACTTTCCACTAGCACAGGTAACACATCTTATTGTAGCGGCTTTAGATCATGACCCCATCCTTCTTCGTTGGAAGCCGAGGGAGTGAGAGAGGAGGAAAAATAAAAGGAAAATGTTCTAGTATGAGGTGATGTGGGAGTCTCATGACGGCTTTGCCACCAGGCTGGCTCAATCATGGTAGGACACATGAACGACGCATACATAGCAGGAGCTGCATGATAAACTGGCATCTATTGCTGGTTGCCTTGGTGAGTGGGGCACCCAAACTTTGGCCATGTATGTCGGGAACTGAAGGCGCTTAATGAAGAGCTTGAACGCCTAAGATTAGATCCCACGCGAATGGGTGGTCCATCAGACATTAAGATCAAAGTGGTGGAAAGGATTATGGAGCTGAACCATCGAGAGGAAATCATGTGGAAACAACACTCTAGAATTATGCGGCTGGCCGCGGGTGACAAGAACACTCGTTTCTTCCATCTGAGGGCAAGCAACGTAGGAAGAAGAATTGCATCTCAAAGTTAAAATAGCTAGATGGCCAGTTTACAGAGAGTGAGTAGGAGATGGCTAGTTTCTATAAGATGTTGTATACAATAGAAGGTACAATGGCTATGGACCAAGTCCTTGATATAGTCCCAGCAAAAGTAACGTGGTGATAAACAAGAATTTGATGGCGCCTTTTGAGAAGGATTAGATCAAAGGGGCTTTATTTCAAAGGTTCCTGACAAAGGCGCTAGAGTTGGATGGTCTGCCAATGCATTTTTTCTGGTGCCGTTGGGAGTTATGTTGTGTGGAGGTTACCACAGTTGTTCTCTGAGTCTTGAGAGGTGAGGATGATCCATCAATTGTTAACACATGCATTGTGCTTATACTGAAAGTGGAAAATCCAGATAAGTTTGTGCAATGTTATTTATAAAATTGCTTCCAAGGTGATGGCAAACAGGCTAAAGATTGTTCTACCTGAAATCATCTTGGAGGAGCAATCAACCTTTTTGCCAGGGCGATTGATTACAGATAGCAGCTTATGAGTGCTTGCACTTCATGAGAAAGAAAAGAGCTTGTGATAGCAAGTATTGTGCTCTTATCTGGATACGAGGAAAGCTTACGGCTAGGTGGAATGGGAGTATTTAAAGGCCATCATGATCTGACTTGGTTTTCACCGTTTTATGGGTGCACATGATTATGAGATTGGTAACCATAGTGTCTTTCTTGATTTTGTTTAACGGTATCAACTTGACTCTTTTGTTCAATCAAGGGGTTTTCGCCAGGGGGATCCAATCTCACCCTACTTGTTCTTGGTAGCAGCGAAGGGCCTTTCGTGCCTCCTAAATTCAAGAATTCAGTCATCAAACCTCAGTGGAATTAGAGTGACAGCATCGGCTCTGATGGTTAGCTACCTCTTGTTTGCAGATGACAGCCTGTTTTTCTTCAAGGAAAATAGGGAGAGTGCGAATACGTTAAAGGATGTTTTGAATATCTACCGCCAGGCCTCTGGTCAGCGGATTAATATGGATAAATTGTCTACACTTCGCCATGGGTGTAAGTGGAGGCACCTGGGGGAGATTATGGATCTCCTAGATGTACACAGTGAGGCCCTTAGTGAGAAATATTTGGGCATGCCCACAAATGTTGGTTCTTCTACTAATGGAGCGTTCATGTATTTAAAAGACATGCTATGGAGAGAGGGTCCAAGGATGGATGGAACAAGCTCTGTCAGCAGGCGGCAAAGAAATCTTGATCAAGGCAGTGGCACAAGGAGTGGTGACGTTCTCTATGGCCTGCTTTAGGTTGTCGCGAGGCTTGTGCGAGCATATTGATGGACTACTCTAGAGCTTCTGGTGGGGAAGCAATGAGTGTAAGAGGAGGACATGCTAGGTAGCATGGGAAGAGATGACTAAACCAAATTTTTTTGGGAGGACCGGGCTTCAGAGATATTGAGATTTTTAATTTCTCATTGCTAGCTTGGCAAGCTTGGCGCATTTTACAAGAGCCGTCATCCCTCAGCGCAAGAGTTCTCAAAGCAATTTATTTCCCTGATGCAGACTTTCTGAGCGCATCATTTGGTTCATCGCCATGCATGATATGATGGCCATTATAGATGGCAAGGATGTGCTCAGTCAAGGCCTTATTCGTAGGATTGGGATAGGTGAATACACGTACGTCTGGCGCATGAACTAGTTTCCAAGATATGGTCCGATGAGGTGGGTTAGTTGTACCAGTAACATGCCACTAGAGAAGGTGAGCGAATTGATTGACCGAGCGACGAAAACATGGGATCTACAGGCACTGAAATCTCATTTCATACCTATGGACTAGGAACAGATCATAGCATCCCTTTGACTACTCAGAGGTAGTAGGATTTCTAGGCGTGGCACTATGAGAAAAATGGGGTGTTCTTGGTCAAATCGGTGTATCAGATGTTGGTCTATAATCAGGAAAGAAGGATGAATTGGATCGAACATAATGTAGG